CCCTGATGACTAGGGATGTTGAGCAATTCTTTAAGTGTCTTTTGGCCATTTGAGATTCTTCTGCTAAGAATTCTCTGTTTAGCTCTGTAGCCCATTTTTAAATTGAATTGTTCATTATTTTGATGTTTAGTTTCTGGAGTTCATTATATATTTTGGAGATCAGCCCTCTGTTAGATAATTTGGATCCACAGCTGTGGAGCCTGCATGGAACTGGGCTAAGCCCTCTACAGAGTGAGACAGTTCTGTAGCTTGATCTGCTTAAGGGGCCCCCTGGCAGTAGGATCAGGATCCATCCCTGGTGGATGAGCAGGCTTTTTGGAGCCCACTACCTATGATGGGACATCTCACACAGCCTTGAGGCAGGGGGAGGGGCTTGTACTTGCCTTTACTAAATGTACCTCTCCATGGCAGGCCTTACCTTCTTGTAGGAGGCGATGGGGATGAGTTGTGAGGGAGAGGGTGGAGAGGTAGGAGGAGGTTGATTGGTATGTAAAATGAATAAAATATTTTTCTTAATAAAAAAAGAATGAGGCTTTAAAAAAAGAATACATAGTCAATACTAATGGGACTCAACTCTTTTTTTTAAAAAGTGGGGACAACATATTAGGTGTCTATAGAATGGGGATAGGACCTGGGAGGAGACTGGGGAAGGGTATGAAAATGTTCACAACATGATATATAAAACTCTTGAAGGATTAAAAAAGATGTTTTTAAATGCTCATGAAAGCCTTTGATATTCAATATTTAGAACATTTAGGGGTTAATCCATTTGTGACATTGACAAATTTGACTCTTAGCAATTAAAAAGGAGATATATAGAATAGATGAACAAGATAAGTGGTACCTGCAAGTTCAAGGACTAAGATAAGGCTTCAGTGTATGGACACATGTTCTTTGCTATTTCAAATTATGGAGGTCATGTGGTGATGTGCATATTTTATGACCTATCAAAAACTCACCTAAATAGTAAATATGAGAAAATTTAATGTTTTTAAATCATAATTTAGATGTTAACTAGCTCATCTTGTCCAAATTCATATCCAAGAAATCAAAGGAAAGGCATCAAAGCCATATACATTTATTAATTGGAAAATAAACATTTGTATTTCTCATTCCTTAATGAACACTGACTTGGAAAATTGCCTGAGATTGATACTTGCTTTCTGTACCTGTATTAGGTGTTGTGCCAGGCTGATTCAGACAGTGTAGGATATGATGTGTATGTAACAGCCACCTTAAGAATGGCCAGGCATTTTCCTGGAAAATTTATGTAAATGCAAAAGCAGCAGCTGTAAGATTCTCTTTCTTTCTTTCTTTTTAAGATTTTATTTATTTATTTTTTTATTATGTATACAGCATATATGACAGCAAGCCAGAAGAGGGCACCAGATCTCATTACAGGTGGTTATGAGCCACCATGTGGTTGCTGGGAATTGAACTCAGGACCCCTGGAAGAACAGTCAGTGCTCTTAACCTCTGAGCCATCTCTCCAGCCCAAGACTCTGTTTCTATAACTAAAAAGATACGAAACAACAGTGACTAGGTTAAGGAGAATTTTCAGCAAAGCTTTCATTGTTCACCTGCTGGATTATCTGTAAAGACAAACACCTAGATGGTTTTTTAATTATTATCTTCCAGAAAAAGAAAGTTTCCGGTAAGTGTAGCAAAAGTTTATGGACATTAACTTGCAATTGGAATGCTGTGATTCACCCTAATTTGATTTTTTATTAGAGTATTAATATTACTTGTACTTATACAAAGTTACCATTGAGCAAAATACTTGAACATGTATATAACATCTCTTTGCCACATTTAACTTATTTTCTGACTTACACTTACAAAAGGGAAGGAGTTACCCATATATGCTTGTTAATCTTGGTTGTCAATTTACATGATGTTGAATCAACTAAGAAAAAGCCCCAGGATACATCTGTGAGATAATTTCTTGATTACATTATTTGAAATGGGAAGATCCATCCTAAATGGTGGCATCTTCTAGGGGTCACCCGGATCAAACGAAACATGAGCAGAAAAGCTTTGCTCTTTGTCTCACTTGGCCACCACATCTCACTATCAAGCTCAATCCTGCTGCTGTGGCTTCCTTCCGTTGCTGATATAAGAATGCATCTTCTTTGCTCTTTGAATGTGGACTGAGGACTAGTGTTTCTCCCAGAATTGTCAAGGTCTTAGTTGGCAGGTTGAGACTGCTGATGCACCCAGCACTGTGTGGTAAGCACTAACCAGGTTCTGAGCCCTTCTAGTAATAATACAGCCTGTGTTGGAATAGCAAGACCATATATTGTAAGCCAATCTAATAAGTCTCCTTCTAATAACATTCATTTTATTAGCATTGTCCCTCTAGGGAACCTTCACTACTACAATATAATAATGTTATCATCTCTCATTTAGAACTGACAGAGTAACAGACAAGCAGGATGTCTCATTCCTGCAAAATGAAACTAGGAACTATATGCACAACAGAGGGCAGAAAACTTCAAGCTTTTCTTGAACAAAGATATACTTTTCTTAATTTATTTTTCCTGTTCATTGTAAATTTTTGTTTTTAATTTAATTTTGTATATATTTGAGTATTTTTAAAGTATAAATATAATGCCAGTTCAATAAGTATGTACTTTATAAATGAAACTGTCAGGAATACAGAAAATCCAAAGGGCTCTACCGGGCAACATAAATGCTAATGAAGATATTTAAGATATATGATCAAAATACAAATGACAATTAAATTCAAAACCATAAAGGGGAAACAATCAACAATCACAAGCATAATGTCCTCAGAGGAATACGATGAAATATGTAATTTACTTAGCAAAAGTATGAACACCATCTGAGAGAAATTATAAATGTGTATCTATGGAGCTCATCTCTGTCTCTAAATTAGGTTTTTTTTTAGATGGAATGTTACCCACATTTTTACTCTCAAAATCTCAACTTAGTTTTTATGGAAATGAAATGTTCATCTTAAAACCCCAATGGGAATTAAATAAGTTTCAACCACTCACATTCCTTGAGGCAGAATTTATGACAGATCTGTAGTCCAAACCTATAGTACAATCCTACACTAAAATCCTATAGTAGAGTACAAACCTATAGAACAAACCTAAAATATAGTCCAAACCTATAATATAGTAAAAACCTACAGAACAGTAAAAACCTACAATACAGACCCATGGTATAGTACAAACCTACAGTATAATAAAAACTTACCATACAGTAAAAATTAATAATAAGGTATGAACTTATGGTAATGAGTACAACATTGCATGAGAATTTACATGTGAATTAATAAAATGGAATTGATTGTAAACAAATAATCTTTTACATTTAGCTTATTTAGATAATGTATCAAATCAGAGGAAAAATTATCTTTTTAACAAAGTGTGTTGGGTAACTATAAAAAGAATTTGAATACCTTTTAAAACAAACTTTAGTGCAAAATGTATCAAAACCTAAATACAAGGGCTAAATTTATAAAACTACCAACATAAAAAAGACTTCCAAAGAATTGGAGAATGTACTCAACAATGGTTCGTTTTTAAAGAACGTTCATCTAAAATGTATGAAAGAAACTCTTATATAAAAAATGAATAAAATACTCAATTATATAATGAACAAATAAGTTAAATAGTTGTTCTTTTAAGAATATGTATAAATATCCTATTATAACTGGAAAGGATTCTCAACATTATTCGAATTAGAGATAAAAACTGAAACCACATTATGATTTTATTTTATACTTTCTGGGAATTTGAGAATTCAAATTCAAAAGTCAGAGAAGTGTAAACAATGTTGGTACGAATGGCAACCCTCAGACATTGCTAGGAGGCGTGTAAAACAGTGCAGTCTCTTTGAAAGACAGTCTTTGAGTTTCTCAATGATTAAGCAGAGTCATGCCTAATCATTGATTTTATTCTTTTATGGAAATGAAATGTATTTCAATGTAAAAGTTGGGTATAAATGTCAGCACTATTCATAGAAGTCTGAAATTAGGAATGATTTAAATGTAAATGGGAAAATGGACAAACAAATTGTGATATATGCATGCAGTGCAATTTATTCAGCCACAAAACATTTGAGGTACTATTATATCTTATATATGTGATAAACTTCAAAAGCATTGTACTAAGTTACATATGTCAGAAATATAAGGGAACACCATATGTGTCTCATTTTATGCAGTATTTAAAGTTACAAAAAGTAATGTATAATATACCAAATTATTAGGTGAGACAAAACAGCAATTGGTTTCTAATAATGGAATTTGTTTGGGGGTAAAAGAATGTTCACACCAGAACTCATGTGGTGCTTGAATAACCTAATCATATTAAAATAATAAAAATACTGGATTGCATGTGTAGATTTAATGACTTATGTTATCACTTAAAAAGTCACCAACAGAGTTTACAGTTACTTCAAGGAATGACATTATTTTAACAAAATAGGCAAAGAATTTACGTTCTAAATTAGATAAAGTTTTTGTTTTCTTTACACTCTGGGCCTTATACAAAACAGGATCTTATTATGGAGACAGGGTTGACCTCAGTATTGGGATTCTCTTGCCTCTGACTCCCCAGGGCTTATATTACAGACATATGCTAAAATAATTGGCTCATAAATATAATTTTTTAAGTTTTAATATTCAAGTAGCTAGGATGTGGAATACTCGATATGGAAAGGCTCAAGCAGAGAAGGAGCAGCGGATAGAGGAGGTGGGGGAGGAGAGAGGGTTTTAACCAAACAAAGGATGTACGAAGGAGCTATATGCAAACTTACTATATTGTAACAAAATTCATTAGAAACAAAACAGAAGTTTGAAGTGATATACCCTGCCTGCCTGGAAAAAGCTACTTTTAGCAGGTGTGAGTTATTAAAAGTTAAAAAGAACAAAAACATCACCAGAATAGGAAACATCTTTATGAAAGTTATTGGAAAAGGAGACATCAGAGACCTCTGATCAAAATAATACTGGATCTTGCCATTCCTTTTGGTTTCCCACCAGAAACCAATGGTAAAAACCTACTGTTAAAGGCACTAGGCACTTTGGTTGAATGACTTAGAGAAATCAAGCTGGAACTGAGATGGAAGTTTTCTTCCTGTTGGCTAGTTTTCATAATTTGGCAAGGTGCTATGCAGACTCCTAGATGATAAAAATATATATAGTTGTAAATGATTTGAACAAGAATGCTGAATGCCAGATAAGACCTATCCATTGTTGCAATAGTAATGTACCTTTTATGGGTTAGTCAGCCACTCTCTGATTATAAAGCCTACTCCACAGAAGTCAATTCATGTCTGCTTCTTTAAATGCTTGGTCAATAATCCATAAAGGAGTAGGCATAGGCCCTGGAGGGAAATGAAAACTGTTATTTAGATAAACTGACAGAGCATCCAGCCGCCATCTAAATATTTATATTTGTACCCAAAACCAACGCTATTCTCATCCTTAATCAAAGAATCTTTCCTTTCCAGAACAGAGACTCACAGCTATGCAAGTTGCTGAGAGTAAGTGGCAGATTAGTGCATATCCATAAACAGACATAAATTCTATCTGCGCTATGACTCAAAAAATATTGTAGCAAAGAGGCAAAAGAATGTAAAATCTGGAAGATGCTGAGTTCTGTGAAATACTACTTACTTTCTGTGCAAGTCACAATCATTGTCATCATGAACTCAGTGAAGCTCAGGGTGTATACAGTGGTCTGCTCAAAAACATGGCCTGTCAAGAGTTAAGCATAAAAGAAGAAGGGATTGAACTGTTTCTTACTGATGATGCAGAAGATGGAGTCAATGTCTTCAATTGGATATACATTGGTTACTTCAGCAAGCTTCTGTATATAGCTTCCATTCCACGGTCATACATATGATTCCAGTTACACTTAATGAAACATGAAACAAAACCAAAAATTCATTAATCTATACATGTGTCAGGAATAGAAGGGAGGAGAGATACAGAGGGAGAGTCATTAGAAAGCATCATATACATGCATAAAGTTGCCAAAGAGCTAAATTAATGCAAAAATAACTTTTTTTTTTTTTTTTTGGATTTTCGAGACAGGGTTTCTCTATGTAGCTTTGCGCCTTTCCTGGAACTCACTTGGTAGCCTAGGCTGGCCTCATACTCACAGAGATCCACCTGCCTCTGCTTCCCAAGTGCTGGGATTAAAGGCATGTGCCACCAACGCCTGGCCAAAAAATAAAATTTTAAATGTAGAGATATCTTAAATAAATGAAATACAAAATTTGGGGGTTTGAAGATCAAATATTGTGTCAATACTGATTTTCTAAACCTGTATGGAATATGAAATTGTTGAAATTCCAACCAAAATCCTAGCATATTTTGTAGAAGTTGAAATTATGAAGATACATGGGGAAAGTAAGTAGATAAATCTTTATTGGAATGAGTAAATTGTGGGTCTGAGGAAACAGCACATCAATCAAGTGTTAGTCTCTTAAGCATGAAGGTCTGATTTTGACCTCTAGAACACGAAAAAGGCCAGGAAAATCTGGGCACCATTATATTCTCTGATAAGCTCTCTGGGCACCTTTATATTCCTGTAGCCTTATTGATGAGCTACAAACAAATGAGAGGCCTTGTCTCAAAAGAGATAATGTTTCTGAGGATGACATCAGTCATTATCCATTTGTTTCCACATGTGCCTGCACAGATATGCACATACACCTGTACACACACTGGTCACCCACATACATAAAAGTTAGTGAGCTGAGTCAAGTTATATTTCTAAATGTAAATACAAATTAAAGCTGTGATATCACATAAGAAGGAAGCTATTCAGAAGAGAAATGTAAATTAAAATCACAGTGAAATATTGTTACGTGCGTATCACATGGCAAAATAACAAAACTCTGAAAATGCATAATCATTGCTAAGGATTTAGAAAATCTTTGCTACAGATGGAGACATAAAATAATAGAACTAATTCAAGCTACTTTTTTTTTTTTTTTTGGTTTTTCGAGACAGGGTTTCTCTGGGTAGCTTTGCACCTTTCCTGGAGCTCACTTGGTAGCCCAGGCTGGCCTCGAACTCACAGAGATCCGCCTGGCTCTGCCTCCCGAGTGCTGGGATTAAAGGCGTGCGCCACCACCGCCCGGCTTCAAGCTACTTTTTAAAACATCAAATATACAACTATCTGAAAAGCCTGTTGAATTCTTGTCATTTATTCCAGAGAAATGAAAATCAGATACACAAAATACACAAAATCAGTTCCCAAATTCCTATAGAAGCTCCATTTACAGTATATTTTACAGCAGGAAGAACTAGTAATCTCTAAGTACACATATCCTTGAGATCATCAAATACACTTTAAATGATAAACATTTAGAAATTTAAAATAGCTTAAGCAATGCTTATCGTAAAGGACAAGTACAGAGAGGTAGGAAGTGTAGTTACAGACGGTATGTGAAGAGGTCCTGTAGAAAGGAAGACTGTGCTTGAGAAATCAATTATAAGAGTACAAAAGCCCACAACTGAATAGACACAGTGAAATGTCACACACACACACACACACACACACACACACACACACACACACACACACACTGTAGAAATAATACTTAATATTACAATGTTAACATATAGTGTGATTTTTGTACTAGAATGTTTAAAAACTGACATAAGGAACTGGGTAAAATATTGCATGATCTTTGTAATATTTCTTTTGATAAAATGTGTCATTTTTAATATTCTCATAAAATATCAGAAAAATGCAAAAAATGCACCCCTTAATATGCAAACACTAATCAAATAAAAATTATCAAGCAAGGAATTTTGGTACACCTGTAACCTGCAATCTTAATATTTAGGAAGGTACCACCCAGATGAGGCCAGTCTGAGCTACACAGTATGACCCTGACTAAAAAAAAAAAAATTAAAAAAAAAAGTTTTTATGGTTATAATTAAACAATTTTTAAAAGTGGCACATACCAAAGAGTAATAATGATTTGTATTACAAGAAAACACATAAAATTTAAATATTAAGAAAATTCAAAGGAGATCTAGAGAGATGGCTCAGAAGTTAAGAGTACTGGTTGCTCTTTCAAAGGAACTGGATTTGACTCCAAGCATCTGCAGGTGGCTCCCAAACACCTTTAACAGTAGTTCCAGGGCATCTGACACATTCTTCAGGCTCTCATGGGCACCAGGCAATCACATGGTGTATATACATAAAATGAAGCAAAACACTCCCACAGATAAAAATAAAAATAATTTTAAGAATATAAAATTCAAAGTACTAGTGATGATAAATTGCTAGTTAGAACGTTTTCATAAAAAATTAAGCAATATAAAACCCAAGTTCTAGTTCATAAAGATAGCAAAGTAATACTTTTTCAGTTATGTTTATATAAAAATATTTAATTTTTTCATTTATATATGTAAAAGTGCTTCATTTATCATTGATTAAAGCGAGTCCATATATATATATATATGTATACATATACATACATACACACACACACACACACACACACACACACACACACACAATCAGGTATGTGTGTTTGTACCCCAGAAGAGAGTTGATGAAAAATCTAATGAACTGAAAAAAGAAATAAAGACATTTAATAAAGTATCTGAAGACCACAACCTTTTCCTTTTAGTAGCTGATTAACTAGTAGAAACTGAGAAACGGTATAGAAATCCTGAATAAGATATCAATTAATTTTTATGTAACTGGTGTTTATAGAACATTTCACTTTGCAACAGAAAAATATGCATTGCATTCAAGTGTTCACAGAGCATTGAAAAGTATATGCCACATTACAAACTATGAAATGCTCCAAAAATTTTATCAGAGAAAAGCATAGACTGCGTTCCTGAGTTACAATGCAGTTCAAATATAAAATAAAAAAATGAAAGTATTTAGGATGATCAGCCAATATTTGGATGTTAAACATATCAAAATGTCCTAATATCACACATAGATACTAAAAATATTCTTATGTAAATGGGAAAAAAGTACTGATATTTTACTTAGTGTATCCCAAGCAGCAGAGAAAAATAAAACATTCACTTTAAAAAAAATAACTTTGAATCAATGATATAAAACTGAATTTAAAAAGCAAAAATTAAGTTTGGAGACATGATTCAGTAGTTAAGAGCACTTCCTACTTCTGCAGCGAACCTGAGCTTGGTGTTCAGCATCCATTTCAGCAGCTTACAACCACCTGTAACTTTAGCTCTGGTGAACCAGCTACCCTGTGCAGATCTCAGTGGGCGCACACACATATGCACACACCCCAACACACACACACACACACACACACACACACACTTAAAAAACTAAAATTAATTAATTACTATGTGTAAATTACTAAAGTGTTCAGTTTTTAAATATCAAGGGAGAAATTGAATGCATATAAAAGCTGGATTTTTTTAATCAGTAATATATTCTAGTTTCATTTGCATTACTATGATTAAATATCTTGACAAAAAGCAGGAAGCTTAAACATAGTCAAGAATAGTCAAGAACAGAGAAAAATAAGCACACGGATCTTTGCTACCTCGCTTGCTCATATCTTGTATCGCACTTTTCCTCTCTTATACTGGAACCTGTAGCTAAAGAATGAGGCTACCCCGAGTGGGCCAGAATTTTCAAACCCATTATCTTAAGATAAGACCCCACAGACTGTGGTGATATTTTATTTGTACTGAAATGTGATTTTAATTTGTATGTTAATAAATAAAGTTTGCCTGGAGATCAGAGGGCACATAGCAAGGCAAAAGCAGAAGTCAAGTGGTGGTAGCACATGCACTTAATCCGATCACATGGCAGGCAGAGTCTCTGTGTAGTCAAGAACACAGCCAAGCATGGTGACACAAGCCTTTAATCCCAGTACCAACCATAGAGACCTGGAGCTCTGTATAGACAGGCAGTGATGAGGAAGTCGTGTGGCTAAGCTTAGAGGCAATGAGAAGGCAGAACAGAAAGGCAATGAAAACACAAGTCAGACAGGAAGAAGCTCTCTCTATGGAAGCTACTGTTGATGGTAAGCAAAAGCTAGTCATGGCTATTGACTCTGTATTTGGCTCTGTGTTTCTTATTTACTAAGACTGTTTAGAATTTCGTCGACAACAGACATACCCATAAGCCAACCAAAAGTGGACAGTCGTCATTAAGACTCTCTCCCCAGGTGACTGTAGATGGTATCAAGTTGACAATTAAAGCTAAAAAAAATCACAATAACATAAATTCAGATTGACCAATAAAATGAAATGTTACAAATTACCAACATTTTCTGATATAAAAAGGAAAATTAGGCAATGTTTTCTATACATTCTTATGTGTATGTATGTATATGTTTACATATTGTTCTATAATTATATATATATATGTTGTGTTTTATATGCATATATTTGTTTAGAACTTTCATGAAATGCATTATTTTCTGGAAAGATTATTGACAAATGTGAGTCACATGGAAAAAAAACAAGCAGTCTAAGTTTTCAATATCTATTAAAAAGTAACTTGTAACCAAATAGCTTTCAATACAGACAATTCCTAGTTCAAATGGCTTGGTTAAGAACTGTCGTGATGCACAAAAATTTTTCAATAACTTAAAAAAGAGGCAATGCTTCTGTACTCAGTCTATGAGTTGAAAGCACCCTGATGCATTAACCATAGATATTAAGAGAGAAGCCAGCTGCAGATCAACACTATTTTTAAATCATCAAAAGTATCAGATTATACTCAACACTCCATAAACAATGTATCATTACCAATTCGAATTTATTGAGATAAGTTAAATTGGTTTAACATTTGAATTAATCAGTATAATTCATCATCTCACTGAAAAGGAAACATAGAATTCTATAGATGCCAAAAAGACATGATTGACAAAAAGTTTTCAGGCAAATGGAGATCATACCCCAAATCAGTCAAAGAGCAAAGTTAAAAAATCACACTCTGAGCAAGGTTCTTAATGATAAAAAACTACTATTCCATGATTTGGGCAACAACATTCTTTCTCACTCTTCAGAGCTGAAATGAAAGCTACATACATTGCCAGGGAGATAAAAACAAATTACATGTACAGAAAAATGTTCATTTAACCATGTGTTTACTAATAAATAGACAACTTTCTACACATATACACATAGAAATTGAAGAATTCTACAAAGAAATAAATAGGCATGATAAGTGATTTTTGTAAGTTTGAAGGACATAGGGTCAATTTACATAGAGCAGATTATATCTGTATATTAAAATAAATAATAAGTGAAAATATATGTGCACGTATACCATTACATAGTAAATGTCTTATAAATGTAATGATATATATGTAATATTTAAATGTGCAAAGCTATAAAACAATAGGAAATTAAAATCTCAATATATTTAGAATGATTTGAGATGCTAATATTTTGAGACTTGGTTTATTAAAAACATAATTTCTCTACACATGATACACTGATTCAACACAGTCACAGGGAATATTTCAAAAGGAATGTGTCTTAGTTAGGGTTTCTATTGTTGTGATAAAACACCATGACTATAAAGCAATTTGGGGAAGAAACTGTTTATTCAGCTTACTCTTCCACATTTCTGTTTACCACTGAAGGAAGTCAGGACAGGAATCTCGGAAGCAGGAGTTGATGCAGAGGTCATGGAGGAGTGCCACTTACTGGCTTGCTCAGTCTGATTTCTTTTAGAACCCAGGACCACCAGCCCAGGGATGGCACTAACCACAATGGACTGCCCCCTCCATTGATCATTAATTAAGAAAATGCTTTATAGCTACATTTCATGGAGGCATTTCCTCAACTGAGGCTCCTTTCTCTCTTATAACTCTAGCTGAGTCAAGTTGGCATACAAAACCAGCTGGTCCAGAATGAGAATGAAAACATCTTCAATTACCACTCCCACACACTTCAAGTAACAAATATATGAGGCTACAGAGACAGTTCTGCAGTTACTGCTCTAGCAGAGGACCCTGTTCAGCTTCCCCAAATGCAAAGGTTGGTTCACAACCACCTGTAACCAAGACTTCTAGGAGATCTGCTGCCCAATTCTGACCTCTGAGGGGACAAAGCAGTCACATGGTGCAGCATGCACGCATGCAAGCAAAATGCTCATACACATAAACAAGATAAATAAATATAATTTTTTTTAAAAAAAGAAACACACATTCAAAATCCAAAAAAAAAGTGAAGAGATTTTTAAATAACATGTTTGAAGATTAAGTCTTCAAAAAGCATCAATATCATATTGAACATTGTTTAAATGTGTCCATATACTAATGTGTTATATAAAATACATTTAGACACATGTGTGGTGGTACACACCTTTAATCCTAGAACTTGGAAAGTTGAGGAAGAAAGAGCAAGACTTCAAAGCTAGCCTGGACTACACACCAAATCTTTGTCTTACAAAATTAGAATAAAACATAAATGTTAATATAAAAATTTAGAGTCTGCTGATTTTTGACCCTATTATTTAGTTCCAATTTGCATGGAAAATTTTAAAAATAGTAAAAGGACATAATTTTAAGGGTTTTTCCTGATGACTTAATATATTTTTTAAATTAGATGTTTATTCAAAGTATATTCAGAACTTGAAGTTTTCCACCCATGATTTACTGTTTGAAGGCAGTAAATTGTCTTCTAACAGGATACCACAAAGAATGGAAATGGGCTCTCAGGGAACTTTCTCATGTAAAAGCTTCCACAAGTGCAATTGATTTCCTGGGGTAGAAAATATGTGGAGGTCAAACTAGAGCAATCATTAAAAAAAAAAAGAAAAAAAAAAAACAATTAATTGTTGACTACAGAGCTCAATTAAACCAGTTTTTCTCCTGATTAAAAACTTCCAAGAATTTCCTGCCTTTACTTTGATAAGTGACATTAGGAAGACAACTAACAATATTTCATTTAAGTAATAACCCAGTTATAGTTGCAAAAGTGATCTATATTCACACCAATTCAATCCTTGTGTAACTCTGGCTTGCCTGGAGTGGTCCCAATTCACACATCCTACTTAGTGTAATTAGTTAACAGCTCCCAGGTTACTCTCTTGGTTTGGACACAATTATAAGGCTCCCTAATGTCAACTCATATAATTTAGGTGGAAACCAGTAGTGACTTAGTAGTGATATTACTAAAATGTACAAAAACTATTGAAGTTTGCTTCATTTTGATATCCTTATTTTTGTTTACTATTTAAAAATTTTATGTACCTATGCAGATAATTTTTTAAATGTTCTTTATTTTTTGAGATTATAATATAATTACATTACCCCCTTCCTTGTCTCCCTCCAAACCTTCCCTTATACCCCTCTTTGCTCAATTTAAAATGCATGGTTCTTTTTTCATTAAATGGTGTCACACATATATGAAAAATACACACATATATATTTCTAAACACATAAATATAACCTGCTCAGAATGTATAATTCTTCTTATATATATTATTTCAGGGTTGACTAGTTGGTATTAATAAGTATTGTGTGTTCTTTCCTGAGGAAACTACTCCTATTCTCAGAATTAGTTGCCTATAGTTCTTTGTGTAATGTTAAGATCTTTAGGGCTCCTTGTGCATTTCAACAGTGTATTTGGATAATAGCTAATCATCTAGACCTACTTCCAACTTCCCCTGGTGGCCTACATCTCACCTCCTCATTAACTTTGTGGTGTGTGTGTGTGTGTGTGTGTGTGTGTGTGTGTGTATGTGTGTGTTATTAACAGCTCCTTGAGTCCAATCAGTAAAACTCTCAGCTGTAGATGTAACCAATCATCTTATTAAAATAAGAAATACAGAGCCAATGTAAAAGAGAAAGCCGAGAGGTCAGAGCTCAGAGCTAAAATCTTACCTCCTGCAGTGCTCCTAGCTTCCCCGAGAGAGAGCTACTTCCTGTTTGTCTGTCTTTAAATAGTCTTTCTGTTCTGCCTTCTCATTGGTTGTAAACCCAAACACATGACTGCCTAGTCACTGCCTGTAAGTACCGCCCTCCAGGTCTTAAAGGCATATGTCTCCAATACTGGCTATATCCCTGAACACACAGAAATCTACCTAGCTCTTCTAACCACCATGCTCCTGCTATGGCTCTAATAGCTCTGACCCCAGGACAACTTTATTTATTAACATACAATTAACATCACATTTCATTACAAATAAAATATCACAATATTATCATTTTATCTTGTTTTAGTGCCTGTGTGACAATGACTTCATGGTTTTAGCTTTTGACATTTGTAGGAGATACAATCTCACAGTAAACTCCCTGTACCTATGGCTTAACAATCTCTCCACCCCTCTTCTGTGATAATGCCTGAGCCTTGGGTTTGTGAGTGGTACTATAGACGTAAAAACACTGGTATCCTTTCAGTAGTAGATGTTGTAATTTTTATATTTAAAAGAGAATTTTGCTGGATGTGGTGGTACATGATATTAATCCTAGCACACAAGAAGCAGAGACTGGTGGATCTCTGTGAATTCAAGGTGGATTCAAGGTGGATTCAAGGTCAGCCTGCCCCACATAGAAAGTTTCAAGACAGCTCTGGTGATGGGATGGCCAAACACCCGAATAGTCCTGCTAGAAACCCCATCCAACAACTGAGAGATCTGGATGCAGAGATCCATGGCTAGGCCCCAGGTCGAGTTCGGGGAGTCTAATTAGCGAGAAAGAAGAGGGTTTATATTAGCGAGAATTGTTGAAACCAAAGTTTGATAAGAACTATGAACCAAAGGCTGAGGGGCCCCCAACTGGATCAGGCCCTCTGAATAGGTGAGACAGTTGATTGGCTTGATCTGTTT